CTCTCTGAGAAAGAAACGATGAAGAAAAACATTCTCTGTTCTTCCTCTTTCAATAGCTCATGCATTCTAGGAGTGTCCAATTCTTCAATTCTTCAGTTCTTCTCAGTTCCCCCTGAGCAGTGCTGAAAAAGTATTGCAGCACGTGGTTTCAGTGCCCTGACAGTCTGTTGCTTATGGTAAATGTCATTTTACAATTTTTTTATTTTTTATGTTTTTATTAAACTAGGGGTTTATTATTTTCTACAAGGATCCATTGTTTTAAACCACACAGCCAACATGTGTTTCTCAAGATATCGCTTACCTTTTAAACAAGTAGCAGTTGAGTTTCAGTTGTCAGACTTTGCTGTCTCAGGCTTCATACAGTTATTCTGTTCTGGTAACCCGATACAGTACGACAGGGTAAGAACAGAAAGAAAAGCCTGAATTTATGGTGGGTTTCAGTTCTAACCATGTAGTTGCTTAAACTTTGTCTTTACCATGAATCATTTTTAATGACAGTTTAAGAGAAAAGACTTGAAAAGCAAGTCTTACCTTTCTCATCACTGACAGCTTTTCATAACTTAAATCAGACCTTTTTATGGCATAGCTTTGTATTATGGGTATTATGCCAACGAAGAGCTAAAGTGAAGGGCTGTCTGGTAGTGGATAGATCCTCTTCCTTCCTAGCACACAGTACATCTTTACAGCCTGAATTCCAGAAGTGCAGTCAACAGAGAAAACTATCTGGGAAAATGGCTGGTTTGAGAACAGCTTGAGAGGGGTCAACCTTCTTCAGCAGAGTCCAAGGATGTGCATTCAGTAACCAAAAGCAGAATTTCGATTCTTGTTCCCTGGATATGGACAGAAGATATTGTCAGCAACACTGTCGTGGTGCCCAGTTGAATTAACATAAAAATATGCCCTTGTTTCAACCACAACTTAGTTGGGTTCTGGTTGTATCATGTGACATGTCTGCATGGCAATTTTACATCAACACTAACGTGACTGTGAAAAAGTGAATCTCTTCTTCAAGTGCAAGCCCTTGTACTTGGCCTTGTTGGACTTCATGATTTTGGCATGGGTCCACCTTTCAAGCTTGTCCAGGTCTTTCTGGATATCACCCCTTTCCTTTGGCATGACAGCTGCTCCAGTCAACTTGGTGTCATCTGGAAACTTGCTTAGGGTGCACTTGACCCCACTGCCCATGTCTCTTGCAAAGATGTTAAATAACACTTGCCCCACACCAATCTCTAAGGAAAGCCACTTGTCACCAGTATCCACATGAAAATTAAGCGATTGACCACAGCTTTCTGAGTGTGACCATTCATCCAATTCCTTATCCTTCAAATATATTTTTTCTCCAACATGGCAGCCAGGATGTCATGTGGGACAGTGTCAAGTGCTTTGCACAAGTCAAGGTAGATCAAATCCTGGTCCACAGTGATTATACAGCCCCTGTTAATTGATACAAGGTGCCTTCTGACCCCCTCTAGTGACTGGCCACATGGAGTTTTATGAGTGCCTTCGGAAGCAGCCATTTTCACTCCAGTGCTATTTAGTTTAACATTTAGAAATGTCATTTAAAATGCTGAGGTATTAAATTCATTCCCAATCCATACAACCTGCTCTGGAGCAACATGTTACCAACCTGCTGGGACTTACAATCACAAAATGCTCGCAGTCCATAGTGATTGTAACAGGGTTGCACATGGCCCCACTCACTGTCCCTTTGGCCCAACAGTTCATGTTCGTTAGGAGAAACTAGATGGTTTTGGTGTTATGGTCACACCATCAGAGAAATAGCTGTGAACTGAAGGGGGTATCAAGAAGGACCAAAGAGTGAGTCAAGGCATAGAACCTTCTGTTGTGTTAAAGTGAAATCAGGAGTGAGAATTTGAGTTGACATTGAAAAAGCATTTTCAAATGCCTTTTTTTTTCTTCTTCTTTTTTTTTTTTTTTTTCTTACCCCTGGCACTGCAAAATGTGGAAATTTTATCCTTCTTCCTGGCTCTTTGTTCTTAAGAGGCAGATATTTATCACATGCCTATTTTCTTGGGGGAGTAAGCAAGCAACTTTTGGAACAGATTTTCTACTGCTTGGCTAATGGGGAACAGGACAAATTACTTATTCCAAGAAGCTGGAGCAAGGCTGACAGCCTGAGGGTAGACCTAAAAGCACCATAACACTTTAGGCTTTAGGTGCTCTGAGATCTTTTAGAAATAAGTGCCTTGATCTTTTAGTGCCCTGGTAAATCATTTATTCTGATCACCTACTCAGGAGTCTCCCTTCTCCCATCCCATCCAATGAAATGAGCTCGATATCAACTCCCTGGCTTGCATACACTGCTCGCTGCTCATAACCCAGCAGATGAACAGCAACAACTCAGAACTTCCAAAGGGCTCCCAGGGCTGCCTGGTAACCTCCTTCGGTAAGCAGTAGCCTCCATCAAATCAGAGCTGAATACAAATTCCTCTGACAAACAGAGTGTCTGGAGCTGGAGCTTTTGGATGGGATTTATCCCTCTCACGTTACTGTGTGTCACAGACTACAGCAGGATGTGTGTTGCTGAATGAACTACAATTACTGTTCCTTTCTCCTCCCACAGTATGCCTCTGTGCTCCTCCACAATCTGTTTCAATTCTCCTTCACCTCTGCATGACCAGGGTCCCCCAGGTTACTCAGTGATTCATCTCTGTGGAATTTGGGAGTGCTACTTCTCTGCTCCATCCCAGGTTGGCAAGATGTTTATTAAAGCATTGAAAGTTAACCAGCTGCTCCTTTTGCGAATATTTAGGCTAAGAGCATTTGATACCAAACGTTATTTTACACATGTATTCTGACACTGTGCTTTATACTGCAGCCCATGTTTCTCTTTAAGCATGGTTTTGAGCAACTTTTTCAACTGCAATCGTATTAGAAGATCCTTGACACGCTGGTAATGCACATGGGGATTGATTTCAAGTGGACGCGTGTTTGAATTGTCCTGTTTCTATTTCTGAAGCCCTCTCAAGGAAGCTCGCTCATTCTTCTCACCCCATCGCTTCCAATGGGGCCAAGTCACTGCATTCAGAGCGCGCACAGTGACACCTCCGAGAGACTTGGACTGTTCTCTTGTCTCACTTCCACTCTCTCCCAGACTGGATGCACACCCTGGAGGTATGTGGTTTGTCTCAAGATATAAGACTTCCCTCCTCAAAAACTACATTACTTCAACAAGCCACAATGGGCTGGCGAGAGGGAGAAGGATCCTCTGTTAGTGCAGCTTTCCTCAGAGATCTTTTCTGCAATCTCCATGCAGCTGGAAACATACTCTTCCTCTCCTGAGCTTACATGCATGCACATACACACATTCTCTCCTGCAGCAATTTCACTGATGTGTAAGTACACTGACACAATTATACATACACAAATACTCTTCCTTTTTTGTGCTTACACATACACAGAGGGAGAAATTCTCTTAATTGAGCACTCATATTTACACTCATGCAAACTCCAAGCAACAGCACATGCTGCTGTACACATTACTGCCATCAGCACACACACAGCCTCTGCCTTGCAAGCATGCATGCAAGGATACAGGTACATTTATTCACCTCACAAAGGTGTTGCAGAATGTGGAGGAAGAGATGGATAAATCAGGTGTAACGGGACCTCTTGAGAGTTAGTGCAGGCTCCTGGTCCAAGCATGCTCAACAATGTGCTTAGAAAGGTCTGCTTGGGGCTTTATCCGATCAGATGTTTAAAACCTTCTTCAGTCAGAGTTTTGATTAGTGCAATTTTTTTGTCCTTACGTCCAAGCAAGTTGTTCACTCCTTCAATTTATGACCTTTATTTTTACCTTTTATTTCTTTTGCTCCTCTGCCACAGATATTAACAAACAGCTGGTGTATATCTACTTGATAACACCGTAGGTATTGACAGGCTGCTATTAGGTGCCCCCTAAGACTTATGCAGGTTGGACAAACTTCCTTCAGCCTCTCTAGAGGACCTGTGCTCCAGCCTCCTCCTCATCTTCTGGATTTGTGAGCCCTTGTACCTTAAGCCCGCAACTGGACACAGACCAGATGGTGTCTAATAATTAGGGTTTTTTAATTAGGGTAATTAGAGGATTAATATTTTCTGTTGTTCTGCTGGCTGTACTCCTATTAATCCAGTGCAGGATGCGGTTAGCTTCCATTGCTGCCAGATACCTCTCAGCTGGGTATCCATGGGCACTTGGCTGTAATTGAATTGATAACAAAATAATAAATAAATAAACCAAACAGTGAGCGTTGTTTCTTATCAGCCTGTGCTAAAATATAGAGATCTCAAAGAGTTTCATGGCCATATTAGGATCCCAGGACTTGATCGAGCTATCAGAGAACAGGATAGGTAAGACAACCTACCAAATCTCTAATAACTCTATGGTTGTGAGCTTTGTTGCTCTTCTTTCTGGCTTTGAAGACCCACTGAACATTTTACTTCCCCATGTTTGGAGAGGTTCAGCCAGGATTCTTCTCTTCCAGCCCTGTCTTGGTAGTAGCCAGTATCCATACTGGTCACAAGCCCTTGTCCAAGTCTCACCATTCAGAAGGAGTACAAGTTAGACATCCACAATCACTGGTACAAGGAACAGCTTTACACAGCTTACTGTGCTTTTACTTACTGTGCAGAAGCACAGCGTTCATTCTTCTGTGCTATCGCTGAGCTGTGCACTGAATGCTTGTTCAGTGTGATTCATCCACATCATGAAAAATCTGAATTTTGTCACTTTACAGTACCTAGTGTGTGGAAGAACTTTCAGTTCCGTAGAGATTCCTACAAATCTATTGTCCTGTAAGGCATGAACTGAAGTAAAGGGTTTTTTAGCTTCAGTGTGGTAACCGTTGAGTTCTGGCCTGAAGCACTGATTGAGCACCTGGGGAAAGGACCTGGACGGCCCTGGGAACACAAGTGAAGGCAATTCAGCTTTGTGACAGGAAGGGGTGGAGCCTGGCTGCACCTCTCTTAGACCTCATTGATGGGCTGACTGCTACTGGAAAAGTATCTCTGGTTGGATATTTCTCCTTGTGTCCCAGTGAATCTAGATGTTCGTTTGGTGAGCACTTACTCTTTCCTTTGTAACACTTTTCCATTGTGCTAGTTCCTTTGTCATGACATCTCCTGTCATGGAATCACCATTCCATGTCATTGATCTTTCTGATTGTTACAGCTTTCTTTTGGACCCCAGTTAGAAGAATCCCAATTCTCAGATACAAGCAGAAGGAAGTCCTGAGCAGAAACACTCAGGTGAATGGAAAGCTGAAATAAAAAACTGTGAAGTTTCATCTTAAGAAAAAAACTGAAAGAAACTGACCTTTTATTAGGTTTCTTGTTGGTTGTTTTTTTTTTCCATTTTTTTATGGCCAAACACCAAATTTTGCTAATGCCATGGGATTACTCAAATCTGGATCATAGAATATTCTGGTGGCTAAACATTCAGCTAAAATTTCTCCCAACATCAGATTCTATTCTGTTTCTGATGGTGGTTTCATTCAACACTAACAATGGGAAGATTGGAACACTTACGAGGTGGGCATTAACAGATGTGTCCTTGTGGCTGTCATATTTGTTTTATCTTCAAGCTGGGAGAAAATCTGGAGCAGAGCACAGGTGTTGCCGTAGTGTTTTCTTGGGAAGCTTCTTTCCCATGTAGCTCTTCCTTTTTCAGATGGGGATCAGGACAGGGGCTAGAAGTCTGACCACTCCTCTTTGCCAGCTCTTCATGACTGTTTTTCTTTGTCCACAGGTCAGGGAGATGAGACTCCCCAGGGACTTTCTACTGCTGCTGAAAGAGCTAAAGGTTTAAGACTCTCATCTGCTCCACAAAAACAGGAAGGACAGGAATCTGGTTGCCACAGATGAGGTAAGAACGACAAGCTGAAGAGGCTTTTATTATTTTGTTTCTTTGTTTGTTTGTTTTACTTTTCTCAGTGCAAGGGACAGCAGTGTAGGAGTATGTGACAGTGGTCATTGACCAGAGGTTCATGCAGTGACCTGAGAAAAGCATGCAGATGTAAATCATGTATGCATGGATATGTACTTACATGTATCTTCTTTTTAGCTACCTGTGACTCAGATTCAGAGAGGCTCAGCTCTGGTTCCCGTTACAGATTTACTCAGGCACAAAACTTGTTGGATGGCAGAAGATTGATAATTAAAAATAGCAGTTGACCTCTGTTATGTGTTTCCACCTATGTTTACTTTTAAGACATTGATAACGGTTATTTGTGGGATATCTTCAAATAAACAAAAAAGTGGGCATCTATCTGTCTATATGTTTATGTGTGCACACTTAATGTGTATGAAGAGATCTACCTACACGTGAAGATGGATTTCTTATGTGATATACACACCCTTCCACTCTGTCAGTCTATGTGGATGTTCAGTAGCCCTGTCAGGATCCATCATTGCACAGCATCTGCAAGTTCCTCTGAACTTCTGTGTGTGCACATTTTAGGACAAAATGAGGGTTGTTCTGGGGACCTCCACATGCTTTACATGAGGGAATGGTTTTAAACTAAGATGGGGAGGTTTAGGTTAGATATTAGGAGGAAGTTTTTCACTCAGTTTGTGGTGAGCTGGAACAGGCTGCCCAAGGAGGTTGTGGGTGCCCCATCCCTGGAGACATTCAAGGCCAGGCTGGATGTGACTCTGGACAACCTGATCTGGTGGCTGGTGACCCTGCATAAAGCAGGGGGTTGAAATGGATGATCATTGTGGTCCTTTTCAACTTGGGCCATTCTATGATCCAGGAAGCAAATCCTGACTTTCTGGGTAAAGCCAGAAGTGTCAGCAGCACAGTTCCTGCCTAGCATGTTGCCTCTGACCGACAGCTTGGGTGGAGGGGGAACGGCGAAGTTGGACCTGTGTGTGCAAGTACATCTGAGTGTACAGTGAGGGTGGTCTGCATTTACCCTATTGTATCGGGGTGAGTGTACAATGAGAGGGGCTGAGTGTTTGTGTTGGTGCCTCAGCAGTGTTTGTTCTGGGGCTGGGGATGAGGCAGTGCTGAAGGGTGTGTTATTCTCACATCCTTGCTAGCAGCAAACAATGTCACGCCTCCACCTGGGCTGTGACATGACACACGCTGTAGGAGCAGCAGCACCAACAAGCTGCAGAGCCACAGGAGAAGGCAAAGCTGTTCTTTTTGTTCATCTGTTAGGAAATCCTGCCAAGTCCAGCAAAGCATGCTGGGATCCACACTGGCTTTTGGACTGGGACTCAGAGAGTGAGAGAGAGAGGCAGTAATTTGTTTGCCATTGCCCTCAAGCCAGGAAATCCAAACCCCAAGCATTTCCCAGGCCACAGCACATTTGAATCGAAGAAGAGTGTCAGCAGCTCGCTCACATGAACCGACAGCCACGCACACCCGCACTCAGGCACACACGTGTGCACACGCATGGGGAGAATGTTAGGGGAAGAGAATTGTTCCAGCACCACTGCGGTTAAGATGCTGAGACAATCTCGAGTTTTCAGGCCATAGCTGTCAGGATGCTTTGGTATATTCATCACCCCCTACTCTATGGTGATAAAAATTTACACAGCCAACGAAACGAAGATTAATTTCATGTGAAAAGCTGACAGAATGGCCCATGTCATTGCTTTATTTGTGCCAGCACTCAGTAACTCGGTGCAAGTTCCATTGAGGTGGCAGACATCCCGTCCCCTTGAGCCATCTCTTCTCCTCTCTAATGATGCCACCGTTTTGACAAAACCAAGCAACACAGCCGGTATGTGCGAATTTGGAATTAATTTTCTCCAGAAAGGTCAAGTATGTTAATGAGCTTTTGGCTGCCTGTGTTTTCTTTCTTGTGTTTTCCCCCCTATTAATGGGGGAAAAGGTGGGAAAAGGAAAGGGGAGAAATAATTGCAGAAATAAAAATGGAGAAAGGAGGAAAAGAAGGAAACTGTGAGCATTGCAAGAGGTAGGATTTCAGTGTAATTTTTCACGAGTTCTCCTTTTCCAGGACTGAGGTGGACTAATTGTATCAGTGCAAGTCTGGGCAGTTTGCTGGAAGCTGTTGAGTGAGGCCAGGGATGTCACGGATAGCAATTAGTGTAACCTGGCACAGAGGAGGTGGATTGCACCCCCCTGGCACTCAGGATCTGATGGCAGCCCTGGCTGCTGACAGCTGCCTTTGTTTTCCATCCCAGAATGGCTGAGCTTTGCTCACCACGGGTCTGTGTGTGCACTGGGGTGCAGAGAGCATATAAAGGTAGAGATGGAGTTTGGGTCTGAAGCTCTTGCGCCTGTTAGCAAGGAAGCTGGGAAGAAAGCTCTGCTGCCCTTGGAGGATTGTCAGGGCCCAGTAATTCACCTATCTTAGAAACATGTCAAAGAGGCTGTTCAAAGAGAAATTGTCCCTGTCTTGTGCAATTGAAATGGGCTGTTTGAAATAACCAACCACTTAGCATCCCTGTATTCCCCCAACTCCTGCCTTTATTTCTGCTGGTTAGGCTTCACCACTTACAGGCTCACTGGCTTTCTCAGGGCATTGACTGAAGATCAGCTTGAGAAAAGGCAGCAGAAAGAGAAGACAGAGGGCCTGAGAAGGTGGGGATCATCCTGGAGTCTCTTCCTGGCTTTGCTGGAAGCTGTTGAGCGAGGCCAGGGATGTCACGGATAGCAGAGTTAGTGTAACCTGGCACAGAGGAGGTGAATTGCGATCTGAGTAGGACATCTGGGGCAGGATTCATCTCACCTTGTTTTAGTCTTAAGCATAGTATTTGGGTTGAATGTATATCCTACCTAATTCAAGATGAGAGAAACTCCATTCCATCAATGGGTGGTTTTTGTCTACATTAAATATAAGGTGAAATCAAACTCTTAGCTGCGATTTAATTCCTACGTTTTTGAAGCTTCACATTAAGGTGCGTGATTCCCCCTACCCCGCCCCCATTCACTTCTCCCTGCTCCCATCTTGGCTCTCATTTCCATATAGTCTAATACAGCAAGGAGAGAAAATTCAGTGTTGCCCCCAGAATTTGTACAGATTGATGACTTTCACTCCAGCTTGCCCAGGCTGGCTCCATACTTACCCACTGCTTTGGCAATGCAGCGTTGTTTTTACCTAGCTTTGCTGATGTAAACCCAACGTATGAATTCCTGGGCATTGTCCAAAAGATCTTGGTTGTCTTTGGAGGGTGCATGTTTTGCCACCCTGGCTACAGTGCAAGTGCAAAATGGATATGGAATGTATCAGTGCCTCTGTCACTTGTGACGTATGTAAGGGTGACCTTAATTAGACTTTTGTTTCTTTTACACCTTACACATCTGGCTCTGTTGTATGAGCCACTCTGCATGTATGATTTTCACATGCTCCCTGCATGAATCACTGCAGCATGGCTGCCTCAGACTCATGCCCATGGATTGCAAAAGCATTCAAGTGACCAATCTTAATGATTTTCAGCTGACTGCTGGTATTGTCCTAAACATGAAAGTCCTACCCATAAACTACTGTAATGCCCACTCTCTTCTCCCTCTTTCCCAGGCTCTGCAGTGTGTGTGGAGGCACGTTCCTTTCTGCTGGCACTGCTACAAGATGGATTGTTCTGCAGTCAGTTGGGTGGGTAGCTGGGGGAAGTGGGATCCACCAGGAAAGCTTCATGGGCTCTCTTGCATGTGCTTGCACACATTGTCTAGGAGCATTCAAAGACATCGTCAATACTTGTATGTATTTTTCCACCATGGATGTTTTATTGCTAAGCAGATAAATTTTTCCTACTTAGAGATGACTGCGTATCTGTGATGAAAGGAAATGAGTTGCTAAACTCTCTGTATACATTTCATTACATGGGACTAAGGGAGAAAAAGAGATACATAAAATATTTCAGAGACAACTTATATTTTAAGTGTTCTGTTTCAGCAACAGAAAGAATATGTGAAATGTATATAGAGAGATTGTTTCATTCATGGATACAGTGAAGTCGGGTATCCCTGTTCTCTCTTGTTTTTTTGGCTTCTGGGATGTCAGAAGAGGACAACAGTTACAGAACTCAAGTTCTTAGGGGAACTTCTCACCCAGTAGCTCCCTGGGGCTTTGGCTGAACTGTGGGATACTCAGTGTTTCCCAACTCTTGTGTCAAAGACTGTCTCCTCTCTTCCCAGATGTGGCCGTGCACCATTTCTGTTTTCTCCCCTCCCACGCTCTGGTTTCCACAGGAAGGAATCCTGGGCATGTGAGTCAGGGAGCTGCAGTGTGCTCTGATCCTGTCACCAGGCTGAGTGATTCAGGGCTGAGGCTGTACAACACACCTACCCCATGATTTGCATGTAGCCCTTGGGATACTCAAAGCCACATTTTCTCAACATGCCAAGTTCTTGAGAAAATCCACCCACTTGCTTTGGTGCATAAATATAAACTTAACTCTTAACAGAAATCAAATCTGGGAGGTGCACCCAGGAAGGAAATCTGCTGTCCCACTTCCTAGTGTTCCCCCATATCTGCAGGTGACTGGAGCATGAAATGCCTTTCATCTGTGCACTGCACTGCTCGTTTGCACCATGTTCTCTAAGCCTGTGTTCCTTTCTTTCCTTCTGTTATTTTTTCCCCTGTGTGAGAGCACTGGCGCCTATGATGGAAGGTCATCAGTGAGGTTAGTCAACTGGCTCCAAGCATTAAGACTTCCTGCCCTGCTATGCTGAGCTGCCAAGTCCCCCTCCCCACTGCTTACCACAAAACCCAGTGTCTGCTTGTCTCCCTCCCCACCCTTCTCATCCCTACCAATTTCTAATTCAGCAGCCTTTACAGCAGACAGAGTGGGAGGGGGAGGCACCCAAGCTACATTCAGATGTGTTTGAGCACCAGAAGCAGTTTGGCTGTAGGGTGATGTTGTCAATATTGTTGAGCAATGTGCTTACAGACATTGCCAGAAGGTGAGCTGCCCCTGAATGTGGGGTAAATATCCCCCAAGAGTCTGCAGTTCCCATGGGGATCTGTTCTTGTAGCTGACCTATTATTCCCGCTGGAAAATGTCATTAAGTTTCTCGATTAGCAGGCTGGTCCTGGCAGCCTTAACTAGGAAAGAGTTTGTCTCAAGTATCCATGGAGAGCATGATTTTTGGCAGTTGACGCAAATTGCCTGCACAAGGAACTATAACTTCCTTAGAGAAATGCTAGGAGGTTACAGGTTGAAAAGAATTAGAAACCTCTGCCCCAGCCATGAGCCTGGGGGAAAGCAAGAAACCTCCATCCCAAAGGGAGCAAGATGTCCCCAAAAGGACAATGGATGATGGGCAAGCAGTTGCAGGGCAAGGGGAAGGAAGAACTGCTCATGGTGTGGGTCTGCACCTGGGCTGTGCAAAGGGAGCAGGAGCTAAGGGAAGCTTTATTTATGGGAGTGGAGCATAAAATGGAAAAGATAGAACGGGGTCATTTGGGATAAATATGGTGGGAAGTGGGGAAGATGGGATGAGTGGTTGCTATTTATGTGAAATCCAAGGGTGGGGGGATACTGCTCCAAAAAGCACCACAGAGATCAACCACATCCCAATGAAAACACAGCTTTCTTTCAGGATAATATGGAAACCCTCCATACCAATCCTTCAACAGGATGAGGAAGAACCCCACCCTGATGTGAGGTTTAAACCACAGCTCCTGGGAGGAGGACTGCTAGTGCTGTGCATACTGCTCAGGGCTCCCAGTATGCAGCACCCCAGCATGTGCTCCTGTGTACCCGTTTTCATGTGAATGTGGGAATTCAGGCTTGTGAGGATCCCCCTCCCAAACCAGAACAGAAGCAGCTACTTTATGATTTCAGTCCCCTTAACTCTGTCTGCTTGCTCACAGCTCCTTAAAGATCACATAGGAGACCCTTTTATTCTTGTGCAGGGCTGGGGCATACCAGCCTGAAGCCTGCTGTCTTCTGTGACCTTCAAAGCACAAGGTGAAAACACCTTGAGGAGTTCTACCTGAACGCCATATTTGTGATCTTCCCATAGCTGCCAGTCTATGCTAAGCTGTGGCCACAGAGACCTCATTTTATTGCTGTTTGTGTAGGTGTAGAGGTATTTGAGGCATAAAACTATGAACGTGGATATTTATTCATCTAGATTTGCTTTGATTTTCTTAAAGATGAATTCATTACCAGTGAGAAAGCTAAAGCCTCGCTATTAAAAGCCCAAGTGCATTTTGGTTTATTCTGTTTTTAAATTTATTTTTAAGGATGCACACATCTTAAATTAACTGCTTTCTAATTACACTCTGGGTGTTGGGCCCTCAGGGTGCTGCAGTAGGACAGGGTGCCAGCAGTGGGACCTGGGGGGTCAGAGCAGCAGGGGCACCTGTTGCCTTAGCTCACTGTGCTGCATTATCTGCCCCTTCAGTTGCTGGGGCTCTCACTTTGCAGGCAAGCAATGCTCTGATTAAGGGTTAAAGTGAGGCAAATGGGGCAGAAAGAAGTTAAAGATGTGAGCTACAGTGATGTCCTCTTTACACTGCTGGAAAATCAGATGGAGTGTATGTGCTCTTGCACTGTAGTATGAGCAACAGAGAGAGCAGGGGATTTATCTAGCTGCAGTCTAATATTCTGTTGGCTGCAGCAAAGGCTGCAGCACTTCCCGACTATCGGCTGGCGCTTTCACTCACACACATCTGTGATTGATGGGCAGAGAGTATAAACACCTCATTAGTGCTATAATTCACTGGTTAGGGCTCAGTCTGTGCCGTGGGAGGGAGGAAAAAGAGTTGAGAAAGTTTAATAACTAAAATTAAAAAAAAAAAAAAGGAGAAGAACGGATGTAAAGCCACACAAATCATTCCAGGGAGTTATCTGACCTGCTTTGAAAACTTTAATTGCTGATAATGGACAACCTGTTGGGTGGTATTTTATTAACACTAATAGATTTTTACGGGATATTTCTCACATTGCTCTCCCAGAGCCTGAGGAATACATTAAATATTAAAAGTTAATGCTCTTGGTTGCTGTTTCAAGGATGCCCTGCTGATAACGAGCTTTCCCGCAAGTTAGAAACCAGGAGAAAGCATGAGCTGCTTTTGCCATTTACGGGCTCTGCAATAATAATGAGGGAAATACTTGAATCTTGTATGCACCTCACAGCTGTGGTTCTCAAAAGTCCATCTGAAGTGCTACGTAGTGAAAATGCTCAGCCCAGAGGTGGTAGATGTATCTAATCTTCAACTGTGGATGTGCAAGAGCTGTGTTCCTGAGTCCCACGCTGAAACTGAGTGCTTCCAAAGCCTCATGTGCTGCTTTACATTTCAGTTATTCAAAGCAGAGACCTCGACCAACAACTCATACTTGTTTCTTGAGAGAGCTTACGTCTGAAATGGATGTTCTATCATATTTTCCTTTCATATGTAGCAGTTTTATAAAAGAATTGCTTTCATGCTGGGTTGTTTTTCTGGGTTGTTTTTTTTTGTTTGTTTTTTGTTTGTTTTTTTGTTAGTAACACAGATGGCCCAGCTACCTGGAACAGAAACAAGGGAGTCTCAAGAGAATGTGAGCAACAAGGGATTTTCTTGAAGATGCTCTCAGTCCTACACAGAGCAGAGAACCCTCCAAGTATGGAGAAAAAAAAGCCAGTTCTGTACTCTAAAGCAATAGATTCAAGCAGTCAGAGAAGGAAAAGAAATGATTGCCAACATGCTTTCCCTCCAGCAAGTTGGAAAGTAAATTTGAAACTGAGTGTGAACAGTAAGCAACTCGTATGGTGAGTCAGAGTGAGGTCTTGCATTAGAATTGAAAAGTCATAATAGTCACAATATACATTTCTGCTCATGGGTGAAACCTGGACTTCCTTTTTAGTGCCTTCTTTGGACATGCCAGCCCTGTCAGCAGTCATGGCCTGGCCTTAGAAATGAAACTTAATTTTGTTACGCCCTGCCTTGGGTCGCTGCCCATGGCGGCCTGTCTCTTTTGTGTCGTGCCATCTTCACTTGTGGGAGCAATAGGCTTGGTTTTGGATCTTGTTCTAACCGCTGTTTATGCAGCCACCTCCTGTGCCAAACCAAGCTGGACTCCGTGGCCATGTCCGTGCTCTCTGGAACAGCACTGGTGCAATCTTGGTGAGTAACACTGCTTCCCAATCCAGCTTGGCTGGAGAGCAGCTTCCCAAGCTTTTTTGTGCTGTCAGCCAGTTAAGATGTTACCCAGAGCCTGCTGGCCTATTCCAGCTCCAGATCTTACCATAGGCAGTCTACAGGAAGGTGATTTCTATGCTTCTCTGTTTGTAGTCATCCTATAAATACATTGGTCTGGATTATCTTTGTTTTTGAGTTCTTCTCGAAGCATTACTGTACGAGTAGTAAAAGCTATCATAACTTTTACTGAACTTTGTTGACCTCTCCCACCCTTTGTGTTCCAACAGGGCACTTTTCCCTCTGTGTCCTATGCCCTATTCCTCTGAACGTTTGTCAGATAAAGTGAAGGGTTGTGTTCCTTTGGGCTCCTGCAGACAGAAGAGCAGAGACTACAGCTCAATCTCCTAAGTCTGTCTTTATTGACCAGATCTCACCTTGGCAACTTGAGCATGTGCCAACTCATGAGCCATAGCTTTCTAAGGAAGGGGGGATCAACCACAGATACCGGTTTTCTTCTCTTATATACAGGCTTGGGTCAGGAATGCACAGGGCAGGCTTCAGATTTGGCCTCTTCTGCACTAACCACTTCTGCACCAGAGAGCATTCTCCTTTGAGGAGCAGACACAAGCTACAATCAGTTGATCTAGGTGCCATGATTTTTTGCTACTGAACAGTACACAAAGAATATTACAGCCTAAATATGATAATATAGCTGCTTACTAAGTAGGAACATTGTCTTAGTATAAACAAAATCACTGTGGCTGCAAGGTAGGTGCAAATAAAATTGGGAACCTCCGTTTCTGGAAGGCCTTACTTTTCAGGTTGGACAGGGTGATGAAGCCATGGTGCAGGGCATGGGCAGGGCCTGTAATGTGCTCTTCATGCACTGGGACCTTAGGTTGTTTGAAACGAACTCTGTCCAGGTGGCTTAGTAGTTTTCTGAATTGTCTTCCTGGAAGAAGCCCTTGAATCTGAGTTCTAACTGTGCTTGTGAAGAAGGTTCTTAGAGGATAACAGGGAAGAAGAAATAGAGGAATTGGTAGAATATTTCTTTCCAAGGGATGCAGGTCCTTTGGCTCAGACACTCCAGGACGTGCTTTATTGCTAGACTGCTGTTTAGCAATAAAACAACCTTAGTTACTTAACAGGAATTGACTGCTTGGTCACTTCTCTCCCTGCCAGCCCATTCGTTTTCCCTATCTTCCCTCCCATGCAATAATGGCAGCTTTTTCTGATTGACCCCACAGGCTTACAAAAAACCTTTTAACTTAAACGTATATTGACCTCAGTCTTGCTGTCCAGTGAGTTACGTCACAGCTGGCAGTCTGAAAATCATAAATTAGGCTTCAAACCACTGGAGCTGTCTCCTAATAATACGGATCTGAGCCGTTATAGATGAAGGTTGTACTAGGTGACTTCATGTCTCTGACAACTGGCAAGAGGAATGCCCTTTTCATTTTTTTTTTTTTCTAGCATCATCCCATAGACCCTGTGATTATTTATTTCCTTTTCATTTATTTTATATTTATTTCCCATTTTGTCATTCTTCACACTGAGTATAAAATTTCATTACTTGCCTTAACCTACTCTTAAAAGTGGAAGAGAAAGATGTCAAACTTGCCATCTTGGGTGCTCTTAGCTCTTGGGTAGTGTAAATTTTATCAGTTTTTCTTTCCTCTTTTCCTATTGATTTTGTGTAGATGTTTGTGTTTTTTTCCCTGATGTGATTCTTATGAGCTAGACAAATGCACTAGACAAATGAGAAATTTAATGACATTGGAAGCATTTCTCCCTTACTCTGTAATGCAGCATAATTCCAATAGATTACCTTAGCATTCATCATCTTTTCCCTCATGACTTGGGATGTACTTGCTCATTGTCACTTTTGTGGATGAGGGATGGAAAATACTCCATGAAATGTGAAGCATCACTGTAAACCAAATCAAGTCTAATGTTTCTATGAGTATTGGCCCAGCAGGAAGGAGAGAGCTAACTCCAAGGCCTTGTCTATAAAAGGAAGACTTGTATTGTGCTTGACTTAATCAGTAAAAATGCCACAAGTTTTCATGAGATCTGTGGCACATTCCTTCAGTTTGCCCTATGAATTCTGGAGTTCAGTAATGTCTTGAGTTCAGGATATGTTACTGCTTTCTCACACCTGGATCAGCTTCATGTCTTGCTTTACATCAGCAAATGCAGAAAGATACATTTGGTGACAGCTGCTGAAAGTGTTTGGGACACTGTGACTGTTCCTGGCAAAGCTGCCATAAGTGCAGTGTTGGTGGCTCCCAATGTAATCACTGAAAACTGAGGGCCCTCTGCACTTCAGGTGTGTTTAGTGCTATGGGCAGAGATCTTGCCCTAAGATAACAGGGTGATGAAAAGCACTTTCAGAAATGCTAACTTATAGACAGATGGGTAAAAGATGTCATAAGAGTATGTGGAAATAAATCCCTCTCGTTCTGCTTTTGATCTTCATAGTTCCTTAAATATACGTCATCAGCGAGCTTATATCCAAAATTTATAACAGCCTTACAAAGATTTTCTAATACAGCTTCATGCATGTATTTTAAAGACACGAGGCTGACATTGTCTTTACTGAGATTAAAATACTCACGGCAATATTTGCAATGCAATGTTCGTAGAACTGGCATCTGCAGAGAACGAAGCTGGCTGGAAATTTCCTCATCTGCTTTTGTTACTGGAGAGTAAATGCAAATGGCTTAAAAGTTGGACTGGTTGGAGAAAAATGAGTGGATTATGGATTTTATTCCCCTTTTACTAATGTAAAATGCAGGCACTGGTGCTGACATTGGTGATTTTAATACAAGATTTTCAAGTAGATTGTGTCCCTTCAAAGAAAATATGAGCTCATAAATACTGCGAGATTAGATGTAGTGAGGCCTGGATGTGGCAACGGCTCAGACTTTATGGCATTCCTCAAGGCATACGGTATAAGATGTTCTGTGACCTGGCTTTCATGAAGATCAAAAGGCTTAAAACCGTTGAGAATAAGATTTTCAAATTATCCATGGGGAGACACCAAGTTGTCAAATGGGAGGAGGCTCTTTGAAGTGTGGAGATAAGGACCTTTCTAGCCTTCAGTCATATATGAAAGCCATTTCCCAGCCCAGCAGAGGAACGTGTCGTTGGGTTGGATTGGGCTTGCCCAGGTTATTCACAGGAATGGACAGGCTGTTAGTGCTGGTAAGCAGCTGACAGTATCTCTCAGCCAAGTTATAAACAGAACCCAAACCAAACAAAGAGGATTGAAAGGACTGGAAAAACATGAAAATAAATGCACTGGGAGAGGTGGACACGTTTATGTATTAGTACCTCCCTGTACCGCAGCTCCACCAGTCTGAGTCAAGCAGAGTATTTATGTCCAGGGAGCTGGAATAGCAAGTATATTGCTATCTTTCTATACTGTCTTAGCTTTGTGTCTGAGCACAGAGGAGCAAGTGGGAATACTTTAAAAGAGCTTTTGGGTGGAAAAATGGTGAAGAGAGGCAGAGGATGGCCTCTTACCTCTCCTCTGCCAAGAAGCTGAGCCAGTGTGGGGCCAGGAAGAAATTCACTGCTCCTGTATGCCAGGAATAACTTGCCACTGGTAGGAAATAGCTGTGGAAGTAGTATTTTGTGGAGGAGCTCCTGATAAGCAGGGCAGCTGCACAGCACTGCTTTTCAAGCTGCCCCAGAACTCACCATCTTGCACAAATACTTATGCATTTGTTCCTTCCCTTCTCAGATTCCTCTGTCTGGTTGGTATTGGCAGCTGGATTATCAAGATGTCTTGAGAAAGTACTTCTGCAAGTATTTTTCATACAATCAAAGCTGTTAGCACTGAAATATCTTCCCCAGAAAGGATTCTCCTGAGCTGGTAAGAATAATTTCTGGTCACTTTTATAGAAGTTTAATTGGCATCTAGACAAGATAAATATCCATTATGTTTTGTGTTCTTTGTGCTGATGAACTAAGGATACACAATGTTTTTAGTCCATAAAGAGTGACCATTTACTTTCGGTCTAATGACTTTTTAAGAGAAAACAGCTAAAGAAGACAGAACGAGAGCAAAGCTTTCATGGCAGCAGCTATTTGATATACGTATTTCCTCTCTAATAAGCTACATCTCTTGGCTGACAGTAAAGTAGAAGTTGTACTCGGCCAGTATCTTGAAAGCTAAAGGTAAAAATAATGGTAGGAATTGCATTGCCTCATATTATCCATGTGCAACCATTGAATTTCCTCACAGCCACTTAGTTTTTTGTGAGTCTTGTCCTAATTATCACAGCTCACAGAGATGCTCTCTAGGAACTTTGTACATAGAATTAGTCAGTAAAGTTTTGGCAGTGTGGTTTTCCATTGGAAAATGACATACTGACAAAAAGAAAATGGTTGAGGAAATCACGTTGATTTGACTTTTTGTTTATGTGTTTTGTTTTCCTATTTTGTCTTCAGAGGAACAATAAAATATGAGCCTGACTGGGTTGAAGACATTGTTTTTATTTAGTTGTTCTTTTTCTTCCCAACTGGAGTTCTGCTTTTTGCTTCTTTTTCCAGTAGTATTTAATAGAGTGTAAGACATTTTGCAGTACTTCAGCAGACCCAAAACAAAGTTATGGAGGGCATAATGAGATTGTCTGAGTTCTTTTCAAAAGCAAAACAGAAGTGATTAATGAAAGCACAAAATTCTTTATCAAATGGAATTTCATTCTTTTTCTCCTCCTAGCAGCATTTATACACACAGACTGTACCATGCTCGCTTAACAAATATCCTCAAAATACTGTAGTAAGAGTTCCCTGTGATTTTCAGAAAAGCTTTTTTTTTTCACTCACTATCCAGGTTTCCTTTGTCATCCTTCTTAAAGCACCAGTTTGCCAAATACCAGGACATAGAGAACTATGCTGTCAACTTTCCACTTACCAGTGGAAATGCAAGATCTTGTGTTAAGGGGCCCACAGGTCTGATTCAGCAAGGAAATTACTGTATCCCTGTATCCTTTTAATTGTAGGGTTGAAAACCAAAGTGTGGAGATGCACATAAATTATTACATTGTCGTTGAATCTGGAGTCAGTCCAGCGTGAACCCAGAATGCCTGGAGCTGCTCCAGCTGAGTGGCAGGAACAAAGCTGAGAGCCCCAGTAAACACCACATGATTTCTGGTATTTGCAGGGCATCTGTTTTGCCTGCCCTTGCAGTATCTTTGTCTGGTCTGGAGAAGATCCTGGGTGACTGGTGATTTTATTATGGCCTGGCACATTTGAGGGTAAGCCACTCTGCTTGTCAGCGTGCTTCCAGAAGAAAAGCTTCAGTGAAAAAACCTTGCTCTGGGCTTTGAAATCTGAACTACAGCCAATTCCAGCGGAGGGATGTGACAATTGCCTTTTGCTGTGAAGTTGCCATCTGAACAATGACACTGTTGTGTTTTGAAAAGACAACAAGCAATGAAAAGAATGTGTGTGTGTAATATATGTGGCTGAGTAGGTACCAGTTGGAAAGCAGTGCAGGCCCTCCACCTTTCCTTCAATGGTGCACCTCAAAATCTATGTTTAGAGCTGTTTCTAGTATTCATGCTCATCGTAAGTTTTCTGGTTGTGGAGAATTCTTTTTTTACAAGCACTGCTTTGCTAGATCATCTGGTCATGCTTCTGCTCCTATGAAAGCTTCACCTTGTTAAATGGTCCTGGGAACTCAAGAAGTAAAGTCTCAGGAGGGGAGAAGGGAAGGAGGATTTCCAAGAGATAATAGTTTAAGGAGATCACAACCAGTGAGATTCTACTGCTAATATTCTCTCCAAAAGTCTCAGGATTGTGCTTGAAAAACAAGAATCCAGCTGCTTCGCTTCACGGATATACAGGGCATCTCTCCTAAAGTCAAATGGGCCATGGCACAGACGTGGGTGTAATTCTGTGTTTGTCCAAATTACAGCGTCTCATCCTTCATTCTGTGTTTGTTGGGACCAACAGTTCCTCTCTTTAGTTTATTAGTAGTTTATTATTTGCCCCTCCTGTAAGGCTGAAGCCATTGCACCTAGGCTTCACTATCTCTTTTTGTGAAATGCTTGGGTAGACAAGGGAGTGAATTGTGAGTAAGAGGTAGTGAGATACATAGCTGTTGTGTCCCATTTGCAGACACAACACTTTTCCCCCATCTAAAAAAAGAAGTGGTAGCAGAATCAAGACTACAACTCGGCTCTTCTCTACTCAAGACAGAAATGTCCCCTTTAGTCATTATTTTCTGTAGTAGATGAAATAGCTAACATGAATTTTAGATATCAATAGTATTCATAAAAGGAATCCTGCTGTCCTTGCTTTTTCATCTGCAAAGTCTATACTGGGAGATGAGAGCATCCATTTACTTACCCAGGGACTTCAGTGCACCTCAGACATGAGATCAGCACCTGTGAGCTTCTGCTTGTGCTTTTGATAGGGGTCCAATGAAGAGTCTGCTGAGAAATCTCAGGTAAGCATCTGAAGTGGTGAAATCCTATGAAAACAAAACAGAGTGTGGGTAACTTGCAGTTACAGATCTAGAGGTAACCCTGGCTTTTGGTCATTTCAGATACAAAAGAGATACAAAAGAATTCCAGCATTTAGAACTTATTTTTAATATGAGTGTAGTGAAATTAGCGGTCCTATAATGAACCTTCTATGGCCAACTTGTTTTGTGTAAAGTGAATGGACATACAGACTTTGGGAATTTACTTTTGTTCTAGCCTAAAATATGATCATGCCCAAAACAGGAAACCTTTTTCCAAGCAAATTTTTTACAATCCTATGAATTTATCTAAGTGTTCAGCTTTACATGGACAGTTAGATTTGTGTTCTAACGAGGAACAGAAACCCTATCAAAGGGACAGAAAAGAATAATTAGTGAGAAGAGCTGGGTTACTTCAGATCCAGATTAAGTCAAAACTACCAGTTATGCTTGCCTATGGAAGGAGATTTTGAGTGAAGAGAACCAGCACCTTGATGAGGGTGTCAGCTTGATGTAGCGCACTGGTGTCCAGAAGAAAGAGCAAAAAAAGTTCATGTTTTCCCAAAATAATAAACATATGTGGATAAATACTGTGTAATCCTAGACACCAGCTTATCTTCTTCACTCGACTGTCCCTACAAATGTGGAAAAGCCCTTTTACTAACCTTGTCTGTGATGGGTGATAGATATTTTCATCTGTCCAGCAGTGCACTGTTGTAAGAAATAATGCAAATGCTATTTGCTATTTGCTACTAAAAAGTGCAGTGAAAAAGGTAGTGCTGCAAGATGGAGCATCCCTGTCAGTACTACACCTCATTCCAAGAGGCTGTCCATACCCGTTTCCTGTGGGTTAGGAGTGTGCTATTGCAATTCTTCATGAGATCTTTCTTACACGAGCTACAAAACTTGTAACATCTTCCATTCCCTTTGTCCAGACTAAGAGCAGATGTTGGGAGAGGTTCCAGACCTGTGTTTTGCACTTAGAAGAGGCCACATGTATATATCCCCTTTCTTTCTGCAGCTGTGATATACAGTCTACGCACCTTATTATCAGAGAGATCCAAAGTACAGAGAAAATTATAGAGTAAGCAGCACAATGCAAGGTCTTGGGAAACGTCTCACTGTTTAGGAAGGCTGGAAGAATTTTATGTAGAATGCCAAACTGGAGAGGAAAAGGACAGATAGAAAGTCAAATTTGGGAGGAAAAGGACAAGAGTGAGGAAGGGGGAACTACTTTAAGAATAAGTCTGAAGGGAATAGGGAAGTGAGAGGTTTCAAGGCTATATGAGCTAGTGCCGTATGCAAGGATAAGAGAGACTTGATTCAGGCTAGAGATGAGCCAGCAAGCAAGGCATTCGCTCCAGACAGAGCATCCTTCATAGATCCATCACGCTACTATAGCTAACAAATATGTCAATAGGGTTTAAAAGGTGCTTCAGAGGAGCTGGGAAGCAAAGACAAATAAGGTGGGTGGCTGAGGGAGGAATGGAAAGTCCAGTGGTTACTGAGTGGGGCTTGAGTGTGATGAAAATCCTGGCTGTGCTCCAGCTCAAGTTTTCCTATCACATTAATTATATTACAGCAGGCTCCAGGGCTTTCTATGATACAGACTTTGTGTATCAAAAAAGTTATACAGATATCAGGGGGTAATAAGATACGCTCATTGTGTCGTCTCCAAGCCTTCCACTAGGATGCCTTAAAAGATGAAGCCTGAGACTCCTTGGTGCTGCTCCCTCTGTGCACATGGGCAGAAAGTGAATACTGTGAGGGGAAGGAGGAATAATCTGGTCTGGGAAATGTTGTGTTTCTCTCAAAATTTAAATAAATCCACTGTCTTTTCTTTAAAATACATGTGCTCTTTGGTTGGCATTTTTGTGTCACCAAAAGGCCTTATTTCAAAAATGTTTCCTGCTTGGAAAATACAGTTACATGCTGTGTGTTCTGGGAAAGGGACTGGAGTGAAGACTCTTTTTCCCCTCTAACGGAGAAGTGTTCCAGCTGCATGCACTGGGTGACAAGTGCCACCAAGAAGGAAGGAAATGTGTCTCACAGGCACAATTAGCAGCAGGTCTGCTAATTTCACTGCCATCCTGAATTGCAGTGAAACAAAAGCAAAACTTGGTTTTCCAAGTTTTATTTATAGAAAGAAAGGGAAAGGTAAGAGACAGGAGCTGCCCAGCAGGGTTCTGTAGCAGGGAGGGAGATTCAGATGCTCTGTTTTTCAGTCCTGGCTGTGCCACAGCTGCTTTGTGTCACCTGGATAAAATGCCTCCATCTTGTCTTCCCTTTGCAAAACAAGGCCTGGGAACTTCACAGCTGCAGGAACAGCGCAGTCTAATTCACCCATGTGGTAGATGCAATATCTCCATAAAAGGCCCATGTAACAGGGAAAGATCTGACTGTTAACAGCCGTCCTATGGCTCTCCATCCTATGGAGAAGGGTGTCATGCAATGTTCATAAGCCAGGGCTGCCTGCTACAAGGCCTGATTCTTACTAAGACAACTGAAGTAGGAAGGAGGTTGGGTTTAAGCCTTCTTTGGTGTGTGGAGGTGTAAGTTGAAGAGAAAAAAGCCAGTGGAGCTGTTCATCGCCACCATGTCACTATCCACCTCCTCTGCACTGAAGCCAAAGTTTCCTGCTGGCCAAGGATGCCCATAAAGCAGGAAATAATCCTTGAAGGCCAATTCCAGCTCCTTTGGAAACAAAGTAAATAAAACAGCTAAGAATGGTGTCTGCTTTGGTGCATCCCCTGCCCCTCCTAGTCTAGTGGCATGGTGGCTGTAAGGATGTGGTACATCCTCTCCTTCTGCCTCCTCGAGTATGGCCAAAGCAGAGTTAAGCCTCCTTCTCTTCCCCCCTCTAAAAGTGCATGATGGGATTCTCTTTTCTGCCTCTCCCTCCTCTCTCCAGAGCTGTGTGTTTGAAATGATATCTATTTCTCTTTGTGACAGCACACCGTGACTGCTGCCTTGACATTCTCCCAAGCTGACATCCCGACCGGTATGACACTGATGCCTTTGGGCAGAAATCAGAGCCGGTTTGCTACATGCCTCCATGTAGCCATGATGCCTGTAGCGCCTCTGAGAGCCCCCAGTGCCCTAGTGGGGAACTGGAGCGAGCACGTGGGCCCCAGATGAACTCCAGGGAGAGAGCAGGCATTATCCCTGGTGATCCTGCTACCCGTTTCCAGTTGTAAGTGTTCACATTAACATCATTTTTTCCTGATTTCTTTTTCTTTCTTTCTTTCTTCTCTTGCCCTTCTTCACTTGCCTGTGAGAGGGTTGGTTTCCTGTTTCCCTCCCAGTGGCAGTCCTTGGGGAGCTGGGCTTTTGTGAGCTGGAAAAGGAGTGCACAAGCATCTGATCAGCCCTGATTAGTGTTGAGAAGGATCTAATAGCTCCTGGCTTCTGGGACCATTACCTGTCATTTAGTTTTATTAAGTCAGTGATGAGAAAGCTTAAAATTAAAGGCTTTGTAAATTGGATTCCAGTTTGAAAGGGAGGCACCTACCAGGAAGTTAGCACTGAAACTTGCAGATGGGCCACTGGGAACACCACCAGAGGAGCATTTCTCTTTAGCTGCTTTGACAAAGATCCCATGAGCCTCAGGCTGTCCAGAAATCTTCAGCCATGTGAACAACATATTGCCTCCATTGCCAGGCTACTCGCATTTAGACCTCCAGCTACTGTTCAAGAAGAAGGGTGGTCTTCTGGCTGAGTCATTACCCGGGGCTTTGAGTTCTGATGCAGCTACAGTGATATAAGGCAAGCCATTTCATTTCCTCTTGGCTATTTTCTCAATTCATAAAGAACAGGAAATCATGTTAATACTGATACTTTTTTTCTCTTTGCTTGGTACCTGTTTTAGACAGCCAGCTTTTTAGGACAGGTAGTCTCCCTGACTCTTGCTTACGACAAGAACTCCAATGGATTTGAGTCTTCAAATCAAAAATAAAGGCCTTAAGTCCATAAGAGAAAGTAGGCAAAATGGATGAGTCACCTAGTTAAGAGAAACATCTCAATCTTCTTTTGAGATTTATCTTCGAAATAGCCATCCAAATGCATTTGCGAAGGGAATACCCCAACTGCAATAACGTAGTCCAGCTAACTAATGATGGTGTGAGAAGGGAGGCTTGGAGGCCAATCACAACAAAGAGTTGCTGTCACTTCTGCTTTCTCAGTTGAATAAAGGTCTCGTGGTGACATTGCTCTGATGAGAAGAGGCATGAATTAGTGGATGCAAGCACAGTCTGGAAATCAGCATTCTTGGTTATTATGTCTCAATTTGTCTCTGACTTTCTGACATCTGAGTCACCTGAGAAGTCACCTGAGGTCAGAATTTTAAGATGATTCCCACCCATCCTTCCATTGTTAACTATCCAAATTGTACTTACATGGCTTTACTTGAAGACTGAAGGTTCACGCTTTGTCTCTGAAAGGCAGATTATGGTATCCACCAAAGCACAGGGCTTATCCTAGAAATAATAGATTGTGAAAGTGTTTTTCTCCTGAAGGCATAATACACATGTATGAAACAGCAATTTCCTTTAAAGTAATTAATTTGTTGGGAAAATTTACCTCAGGTTTTCCCTGCATAGCTTGGCATTGTTCATCTCCCTGTTTTCTCTGCCATTTTTGTCCAAATTGAGCTGTCTGGAAGAGAAGCCCTCCGACCTTTTACTTTACATTCAGACTTCAGATTTGAGTCCTCACTTAAAGGTAGGCTCACCTCTGCTTAAAAGAAGTAGGACTGAGAGCAAAGTCTCATACGCCACAAACTCACAGTGAAAGATAGGTCTTTCATCTTCTTTCCCCATAGAGCTTCCAAACCATAGACAGGATGGGACAACATACCCAGAGGAAACAGACACAGAGAAATAGATGGGGATGGGCAGTATTAGTGCGGAGAGTTGGCACTGCAAGCCAACTTGGGCCCCAAATTCTTGCAAAGTGAGAAGAAGCACAGGTAACTCCAGGCCATTCCTCCTGTCTCTCCATAGGCACAGCTGTTCCTTGACTTCAGCTAATCCTCCACGTTCCCTTGAAAAGTGATGCCTATCCCAACCTTCTGTGCTAGCATCATGAGAGAACTGATCTACGGGCTACTCAGTGGTTACTTACATCATTCCTGTGCTTCCAGCCATGTGACTTGACCGCAGGCTTTCAAAAGGTAATCTGGGGAGATTTTATCAAATGTAAAAATGTTCCTAGACATTACTGGAGCCATGATGTAATGAACAAAGGTTTTGTTCTTTAGATTCCTCTTTGCTGAAAACCACAGGCCTAAAAAAATAATTCCAGAGAAGCTGTGGAGTTGTAAGAGGGAGGCTGAGGTCCTGTGCTGGGGTGAGCCATTCTGTGCTGCAGTGCTAGGGAGAAAGAGTTCCCGGCTGAGTGCTGTGTTACCGGCTGTGAAGTCTGGACTTGAACTCTGATTTGGACAATAACTCTTCACAGGGAGCTCTCTGTTCTTCCTACTGCTGGGCTGGAAGATATTGCCAAAGGAAAAAGAGTGCCCAGGCCTTCAGTGTACCTGGCTGCCCCTGGTATGTTGCTTGCTGGGGGCTTTGTATTTGTTATAGCTCTAATTGTTTCAATTTTTGTGGGGGCAATTCCAATCTACAGCGTTACTTCAAATCACCAAAAGGTGATCCCCCACAGGTGACACTCCTTTTTAGTGTCCTCTGTGTTGAAGGTAAGAACCTAGTTTGCAGTGCCTCATAGCTTTGACACACCTTTACGCTCCTTTTCAGAGGCAGAATGATTCCTGTGCCACATGTCTGTGAAAGTCTTCCTGACACATTTTTGTCTACCCAAGCTGCAATAAGACAGTATCCAAGCTTTGAATCTTTGGATTTTAGTACCTACTGAAATCCCCTGAATGGTGCTGTTAATTATGTTGCATGGTTTGATGAATGATGTATACGGGACAACATTTCATTTTGTCTGAAGGGAGGTAAGTGGGATGAGGAGCTTCTGGGTTCTCAGTGAGGCAGGAGAGGTCCTAAATATTGGCTGATGAAGGGGAAGTTTCTTCCTCTCTGTAGAGGGCTGTAAAGTCAGTGTCAAGTCAACATGACATCTGGGTTATGTCACCGTCTGGTGGGGATACCTATTCATACGTTGTATTTTTTCAGACAGAAACCAATTCAATACTTTACCTAAAAACCTTGTAGAATGATTCTAAGGATTATAGCTCAGTCCTACCTGTCTTCAGTTTTATTCTGGGACAAGAGGACTTGGTTAGTAGAAATTCTGGGTAATAAGTTTTATCATATACCAGCTGGAGTGGATAGTGGAAAAAAGGCTGCTCAAAAGAAACAGAAAAAGAAGGAAAGCCAGGAGAAGGCAGTACCATTGAAACTAAGGATTTTGAGAGTATTCACTGCTGATAAAGCATCCAGCATGACAAGGAACTAATTGGAGTGCATGTTGTTGCATTGTAACCACAAGGAGTCTTAGAAAAGATAGAAAGTGGGATTTCTTTTACGGGAGTTTATGTGTTTGCATTGCAGATATTTGCGTGTTTTATTTATGCAAATTCCAGTTCAGTGATTCACTTCAAAATGAATGGAAATTTCTGATACACAATTAAGGTACATTTAATGAGGAAGTTCAAGATAGAAGAAGGGAACAGGAAATGCACACAGAACAGAGTTGGGAAAGTTTCTGTATCTATTCTATTTCAGGATAAACCTGTGGTCATTCAAAATTAGAAAAATAAGTTAAATCATTCTAGAATAATCCAGTCCCTATGGCATGTGGCCATGAGATAGACCAAAGCTCAACTCTGCTCTACATTGTTTGTACCGTAGACTAGAACCAGAGTCTTCCACATTGCAATAGAATTGTTCAGATTTGTATACCTGATAAAATAATTGTGAGTAGCATGTAATTAACCCTGGGTACCCCACATTACATGTGGTAATCCTAAGTATAAAGGGATAGAACGGAGGGACAAAAGAAAGTCCATCAAAGAACTGAGAATATACTCTTTTTGAAACTACTTTCTTTTTGTGAGAAATTTCAGTTAAACTTAATTGACCTTTCCCAATGAAATTGTACTTGGAAAATTTCCTGAGTAGCTCTCATAAGGAGGTTTTGGAGTCAGAAGAACCAGAAGAACCCTTCAGGTAATAAGTTTAAAACAAATAGAAGGAAACAATTTGCGACATTAGTGGCTAAATAAATGGCGGAAGTCATTGTGAAGTAAATATGATGGCCAAAGGCAAAAATATGTTCAGAGAACATTTGGATGTGTAAGCAGAGGGTGGCTCTGCCAGCCACCTGATATAGGGGGGGGTCCTTAAGCAGATTACTAAAACAACAGCCAGTTATAACAAGGAAAGAGCAGTCCTGCAAGGACTCATTTTCTGTTTTCTCCTGTATGTGAGTGCTCCTGCCTTCTGGTAGAGGTCAGGTACTGAGCTAGGTTGATTTTTGGTCTGACACAACATGGCATTTCTTATTCTTGTTGTAAGTAGTTCTTGCATATTGTTTTCTTGTGAAAGAATCTTCTCTGCTGGAAAGTTTCACTGGAAGTTTTTCTGTCAGTTTAGTCTGCATGCCTGCTTTTGTGTCCTGCCTATCTACATATATTGACATGTAGGATTTGACTACAGTGGGACTGGGTGCAAGTGGTCCGACAGCATTTCTACACACAAGTTTAGAAGGATGTTACCCTTGTACCTTGTGGGTTTTTGTTTGTTTGCTTGTTGGTTGGTTGGTTGTTTTTTTGTGTTTTTTTTGTTTTTGTTTTGTTTTGTTTTGTTTTGTTTTGTTTTTTTGCAGGGCTTGCAGTGGCTCCAGTCAGCTAGCCTTGCTTCTGTTAGTGTTTCTTGAACTAAAGAATAGTTTCCTTCTGAAAATTAGGGATAAAAATTCAGAAAAGTGTTTTCCAAATAGCCCACAATGTTTAGAATTAACAACAAGCCCTCTTCCAGCTCATTCTGTCATTTGGGCATGTTCATGCTACGTGTCAGGACAAACCATTGAGACATCTGGATGGGTTCATGTGAGTCCGTGGGTTTTGAATCATTTTGCGTGGGAGATCCCGCGGTACTGTGCTCATTTCACTGACAAACAGCTCACATCTCCTCATGACAAAACAGACAGACCCTTTGCAAAGCATAATAGAGGAGAATGTTCATGTTCTGACTATGATCCAAAACTGTTCTCACAGTAACATCATCTGACTCTTTTAGCCCTCCAGATGGGCAGGCCCATGCATCTTGCACAGATATGCACAGAGAAACATCCAAGAGCCTCCTTCCTTCCTTCCTTCCTTCCTTCCTTCCTTCCTTCCTTCCTTCCTTCCTTCCTTCCTTCCTTCCTTCCTTCCTTCCTTCCTTCCTTCCTTCCTTCCTTCCTTCCTTCCTTCCTTCCTTCCTTCCTTCCTTCCTTCCTTCCTTCCTTCCTTCCTTCCTTCCTTCCTTCCTTCCTTCCTTCCTTCCTTCCTTCCTTTTCTAGTTCTCTGCAAAACACACTCCCACCCTACTTGGTTTTACATGTTTAATTCCAGCAATCCTGTTTCTGTGTGATTTAATGTCATCACTCAGGCATCTTCCCAGCCTCCCTTTCACTAAGACTCCTGACTTGCATCTGTACACACCTGCACCTGCAGTATCAGACTGAGAGCATTTAGACATTTTCTGAGCTGAAAACAGGCCTATGAGAAAGTGAAACTTGGCACTAAGGGGGTACATGAAGTGAGTGCCCCATGAGAAACATTTAAAAGGTAGGTAAGGCATAAACTTGGAGCCAATA